AGTGGGTGAAGGCACTGGTCACCAAGTCTGGGAATTTGATTCCTAGAATCTACATGGTGGAAGGAGAGAACTAACTCGTGTCCTCTGACTTCCACATATGTGCTGTAGCATACATATATATACATGCACATGTATACACAATAAAGAAATAAAGATGTAAAAATAAAGACATAGTATTTTTTATTTTTGTCTAACTTAAGTACTAATAGGAATGTTTGCTGATAAAAATAGTAATTGTGATATATATTACAAAATAAATCTAAACTGTCACTTAAATTTTTTCTTCCTTGTTTATATATTCTATCTTTTTAATAGGAAAAAAGACTACCAAACCCTTCGTTGTCTCCAGTAAAATCTAAAAAGGAGGTAGAGGTGTGGATCGGAATGACTGTTGAAGAGCTAGCTAGTGCAATGACAAAAGACGTAGGTGAGTCAGATAAGTTTACAAAAAAAATGCTGGACATGAAAGCTTGGGATTTTATTTACAATAATGTTAAGGCATTTAGGGGTAAAAAAACCAACTAGTGTTTTAAATGTTAAGTTATGCCAATATTTTTCATTTTAGGTCACAAACCCTAATAGTTTCTTGACACTTTGCCAAATATAATTCTCTAAGACTTTTCTTTTAATGAATGTGGAAAGTATTTTCTTACCTGAATTAATCTTTCTTCTTCATAAAGCTTCTGAGCTATTAGTGTGAGTTCAGATCATGTTTTTTGGACGAAGGGCTATATTTATACTCTTTTACTTTCCCTCTCTTTTGACGTAATTCTTCAGTTTCTTTTTTTCACTCATTTGGACAATGTGTATAAGACTAGCAGAGAAATATGGGAATAATTAAGGCCTATTATGTAAAGTTGGTGTCCTGAGATGTCCCTCAGTGCAAGTTCATCCATCAGGGTTCAGTCAGCCTATCTAGAGTCTCTCCCTTCACGATCAGTTCTTCCTCACCCAGCAGTATTCAGCTGCCAATAATTCTTTGACTACAGTTGAGGCTTGCTTCATTTCCACCATTTTGTGCTTAGTTTTTGTCTGCCTAAGTTTGCATGGGTCTTGTGCGTACTAACACCATTGCTGTAGGTTTGTATGAGAAAGGTCCCAGGTGCCTTTAGGACTGTTTCTGTGCGGTCATGCACCTCCTCCCTGCCTGGCTCTTACAATCTTTCTGCCCCTTCTTCTGCAATGGTCCCTGAGCCCTGGGTGGGTGGATTTTAATATAGGAGTTCTGTCCAAGGACCCACACTCTGCAGACTCTTACTCTCTGCGTTTTGGCCATTTGTGGCCTTTTGTGTTCCTGACCCTCTGTTGCATGAGGGAGCTTCATTGATGAGAATTGGAAAGATGCATTAGTGTTCTCTTCATCCCTTGTTCTATGTTCTGTGAGCTTAGGTGTAGAGGTTGCATCCTGAATGTTCCACTTAGGCTTAGGCAACTCACAGAGAATGTATGTGTGTGACCAGTGGTATAACTCTGTAATAATTTCTGTCTGTTGAAAAAGAAGCTACTTTGATGGGTAGTGACTGTGATTACTTGACAATAAATTTAAGGATCCATATTTTACACATAGTAAGAAATTATATTTGTCTAGGGGTATGAGAGCCTTCGAGTTTTCTCTAAGATCTGTGACCTCTCCGGCTATGTGTATTTGGCTAGGTTTACAGTACCAGACATGAGTTTCTTCCCACTGAGTGGGCTTTAAATTCAATTACGCAGCTGTTGATTACCCCCAAGATAAAAGTGCCACTACTGCACCAATGTTGTTTGCTGTGCTGATCATTGATATGGTTTTCAGGCGTTGAAGGGTTGGACCATTGTGACTTATTAGAACATTTATACTACTATCCCATTGAATGTACTATTTGTTTCAACTTTTCTTAGTAGAAGTTACTTTTTAAAGCATTTAATTCCTGATCTTAAAGGTTTCATTTTACTCCAACCAGATTTCATATATGAAGCTTTATTAAACACAACTATTGACATAGATTCACTTGAAGCAGACACACATTTAGATGAAGTCTGGATCAAAGAAGTTATAAAGAAGGCAGGAATGAAGTTGAAGTGGAGCAAATTAAAGCAGGACAAAGTAAGAGAAAATAAGGATGCTGTAAGAAGGTAAACAACTCTGTATGTGTTCCTCAGACATTTCAGGGGAAAATTTACCTTAAAATGTTTTTTATATGTGAGAATAGGGTGAACTTTATACAAAGTACTTAAAGCATCAGAAGGTATATTTAGCTTATTACAAAACTGTAAAGGTGATTTTTCATAGCATTCTAAGTGTATATATTAGTCTGAATTTTAAAGTTTGATTTAGAGAGTCATTAAATATTATGTCATGTTGTTACATGTAAAAAAGAGGGAAGTAGTTATGTCTAATCAAATTTGAATCTTGCTTTTTGTTCTTAATGGTAGCTTGCAGTGATAACTGTGAACCAATTCACAATTGTTTCTGATATTTAAGAAATGAAACTCCTGTCGGGAGTGGGGAGAGGGGTTCTAAATTTGATTAAGATGTATTATATGAAATGCACAAAAACTCAATAAAAATATTTTAAAAAGGAAAAAAAAAAAAAAAAAAGAAACTCCTTTGCTGTTAATTTTAGGCCCCAAGCAGATCCAGCTTTATTAACACCAAGGTCTCCAGTTGTTACTATAATGGGTCATGTTGATCATGGGAAAACGACATTACTTGACAAACTTCGAAAAACTCAAGTGGCAGCAATGGAGGCTGGAGGCATCACTCAGCACATTGGTGCTTTTCTAGGTATGGACACAAATCACATTACATTGTTCTCTGGAAACCCACTTATTATTTTCTTTAACCAAATGTCGTGATATGAAATACACAAATTCACAGTACAAGGGGAGGCTTCTTACATCCACTAGAATGATAAAATGCAAGGCAGGCAGCTAAAAATTATTTTATACTCTGAGAAAAAGCTGTTTTACTGTTTTTATTCATTCCCATTCTTAGTTTTTAAAAAATATTTTTATTATTTTTATTTTACATGTATGAGTGTATTGCCTGCATGTGTGTAAGTACACCCATGTCGTGCAATGCCCATGGAGCTCAGAAAAGCATCAGATTCCCTTGGAACTTGTTGTTAGCTGTCATGTGGGTGCTGGGAATCAAACCCAGGTCCTCTGCAAAAGCAACCAGTGCTCTTAACCTCTGAACCATCTCTCCAGCCCCCTTAGTTTTGTTTAATAAACCTAAAATCTTGAATTATGCTTATATAACCTCAGGTGTAGGCTGAATAATGTTAACAGTAATTAAATGCTAATTACGATTTGCTGAGTGCTTGACCTAGCACTGTGCTAAGCCTCTTATGTCCTTCACCTTTTTTGTCTTCACATCATGAAGTAGGTATTAATATTTCCATTTATAATCTGTAAGAAGTTGGGACTCAGGTTAAGTGACTTGCCCAAAGTACATAGTTAGTCAGTAGCAAAGCCAGGATTTAAACTCAATATTATTGGACTCAAGTTCAAAGCTATTAACTATACTAAATTGCTTTTCTGTGGCTCTGGGCAATTGTATAGCTGCAGTTTGCTGGGGTGACCACCCATGCAACTATTGGTTGCTTCTCTCTCTAGAATGGTAATCAAGTATTTGTAGTCTAGAAATACAGAGAATTTTGGCTTGAAATTATTGCATGAAAAGAAAAACAGGTATTTTTTCCCTCACTGGTGTTTTATGTTTTCTTTGTGAAATTTTAATTTGTTCTTCTGATTAAAATTATTGGAAGGAGAGCTGAGTGTGGTGATGCAGGCCTTTAATCCCAACACTTGGGAGACAGAAGTAGACAGAACTCTGTGAGTTTGAAGACAACCTGGTCTACATAGTGAGACCCTGTCTCAAAAATAATTAGATAAAATAAAATTATTGAAAGGCATAAAATCATTTTAAAGAAGTAGTATGAAGTTTGATTTTGTCATATATTTCTTCATGCTAAAGAAGCTGAGTGATTGGTGTTCTTGGATTTCTGTTTCCACAGTTGCACTGCCTTCTGGAGAAAAGATAACTTTTCTCGATACTCCAGGACATGCTGCCTTCTCAGCCATGAGAGCCAGAGGAGCTCAGGTCACTGACATTGTCGTGTTGGTTGTAGCTGCAGATGATGGCGTGATGAAACAAACTGTAGAGTCTATTCAGCATGCCAAAGATGCACAAGGTATATAAAGTGCTAACTTTTTTAACTAAAAAAAGAAAAGTGCTCTTTTTTTTTTTTTTTTTTTTTTTTTTTTAAGTATCTACTACATAAAACTGTAATTCTGGAGCCATTTACTATAGCTCATTTAATCTTCACAGCAGTCCCAGTCCCAGGATTCTATTTTGTGTGTATGTGTGTGTGTGTGTGTGTGTGTGTGTGTGTGTTTGTATGTGGTGGTGGGGTTTGAACTCATGGCTTTGAACATGCTTTAGCACTGAACTACATGCCCAGCCTATACTGTGCCTGGTTTTTTGTTGTTTTGTTGTTGTTGTTGTTTTAATTTTTTTTTTAATTTTACATGTATGCATGTATTACCTGCATGTAGATCAGTGCACCTGTGTTGTGCAATGCCCGTGGAGATCAGAAGAGGCTGTCAGATACCCTGGGGCTGGAATTACAGACAGTTGTTAGCTACCATGTGGGTGCTGGGATTTGAACCCGGGTCTTCTGCAAGAACAACCAGTGCTCTTAACTGCTGAGCCATCTCTCCAGCCCTATTGTGCCTGTTTTACAGGTAAGTTTCAAATATAGTTAAGTAGAGGCTGTCAAGATGACTTGCTGGGTAAGGGTGTTGGCTGCCCAGCTTCATCACCTAAATTCAATCTTTAGGATCTGCATGGTGGAAGGAGAGAACCAACTCCCAAAAGTTGTCCTCTGGCCTCCATATGCATGCCACAGCACATGCACATACATAAATATACTCACATACATGAGCGCGCACACACACACACCACAAAATGTAGTTAAATTGTTTTCTTACCATCATAACTAAAAGAAAGAAAGTAGCAAAATTCAACTTGGACTTGTACAATCTGTTTTCTACCTTGATTTTTGTTTTGTTTTAGGGTTTTTTTTTGGTCTTTTGAGGTATGTGGTACTTTTTAATATTTTAATTTTTGATTTATTTATTTTGATTTTATGTGTCTGAGTGTTTTGCCTGCATATTTATAAGTGCACCCTTGTTGTGCAATGCCGCAGAGGTCAGAAGAGGGCATTGGATCCCCTGGAACTGGAGTTATGGATGGTTGTTATCCACCATGTGGGTGCTGGAAATGGAACCCAGGTCCTCTGCAAGAGCAGCCATTGCTTTTAACTCTGAGCCATCTCTCCAGCCCCCATGCCTCCCTTTTATAATAAATTGATAATATCAAAACCGAAAAAGGAAATTAAAAGCTGGTACACACTTTTAATCCCAGCCCTGAGGAGGCAGAGGCAGGTGAATCTCTGTGAGATCATGGCAAGCTTGGTCTACATAATGAGTTCCAGGTCAGTTAGGGCTACCTTGTCTCAAAAAGACCAAAAACTAAGAAGTAGAAAAGAAAATAAGGCCTGGAGAGATAACTCAGCAGTTAAGAGCACTGGCTTCTCTTCCAGAGGATCTGCGTTTGGTTCCCAGCACCCACATGGCAGTTAACAACAGTCCATAACTCCAGTCCCAGGGAATCTGACGTCCTCTTCTGGCCTCTGTGGGCATTGCATGACATGGGTGCATTTACATACATGCAGGTGATACACTCATACACATAAAATTAAAATAATAACATTTTAAAAAATCACCAATCTAGTCCAATTCTTTTGTCTTATATCATAAAAACTGAGATCTAGACAGCATTAAGAGCAGCTGATTTTCAACTTGATGACATTCAAAATCTGTATCTTCTAGGTTTGAGTGTGACTTCTGTTCCTTTGTAATTCCTCCATACTGCCTTTGTGTGTTGTGCTATGCTCTTCAGATTCTAGACATTACATGGCAAAAAGAAAAAAAGGCTAAACTTGCCAGGAATCTTGTAACAAAGCAGTTCATTGAGATGTGATAAATCCATTATATTGTGTTTTTTACATCTATTCTTTTGGATTTATTAAGTTCAAGTTTGTCAATATAAAATGTGCATTGTTATAATAGTAGGTTGTAGGTTACAAAAACTTTAGCCAAGACTGGCCTGAACCTACTGAAGCTCAGCCTACCCTTGAACTTGCAGCAATTTTCTTGCCTTAGCCTTGTGAATGCTGAGACCATAGTAGGAGACACCAAGCCTGTGCAAAACATTTTCATGTGTCTTTCTCAATTTCTGTTCCTTTGTAGAGCTAGTGTAACTCAATTAGAATTTTGTTATAGCTTTAGTTAGAGGATATGGTTGTTTTATATTTATTTTTATTTGTCTGTGTGTGTGTGTGTGTGTGTGTGTGTGTGTGTATGAAAGCCACATGTGTGGGGGTACCTGTAGAGGCCAGGACTGTCTGATCCTCTGCAGTGTGGTTACAGGGGGTTGTGAGCTGCCAGACATAGGTGCTGGGAGCCAAACTTTACTCTAGAAGAGCAGTATGTGCTCCTAACCTCTGAACATCTCTCTAGTCCCAAGAGGATTGCTTAAGTCATGAAAGCTAGATTATAAGATTCTTTGGTTATTTATTTATTTATTATTTACTTATGTTTTTTTGAAACAAGGTTTTACTGTGTAGCTCGGGCTGGCCTCAACAGTGATCAGCTAGCCTCAGCCTCCTGAGTGCTAGGATTACAGATGTGCACCAGCATGCCCAGCAAATAAATATTTATTGAGAGGCTACTGTTTTTGTCACTGAGCCAAGTATATGAATAAAAAGTTGGTGTAGGGACTGAAGAGATAGCTCAAAGGTTAAGAGCACTGGCTGCTCTTGCACACGACCCAAGTTTGGTTCCCAGTACCCACATGGCAGCTAACAGCCATCTGTAACTCCAGTTCCAGGGACTCCAATGCCCTCCTCTGGTCCCTGCGGGCATTGCATGCAGGTGGTGCCCTTACATAAATGCAGGCAAAATGCTCATATACATAAAGTATAAATAAATAAATTTTTTTTTTAAAGTTGGTATGATTCTTAAAATTTGTAGTAGTGATATTTAGTTTCAACTCAGGATATATTGGGTTTTAACATTGAATTGATGAAGTTTAGAAAGAAGGGCTTGGGATTTAGATTTGGTAGAGTGCTTGCCTAAATGCATGAAGCTCTGTTTTCCATCCACAGGAATACAAAAATTGGGTGTAGAACCCCAAGCTTGTAATCTTAGCACTGGAGGAGAGATGGAGGCAGGAGGATCAGAGGCTTCAAGGTCATCCTCAGTTATGTACCATGTTCCAGACCAGCCTGGACTACCATGATTTAAAAAAATATATTTTTAATTGAAAAAAAAAAGCCTAGAAAGACAAGGCAAATGATTTGAAGACTTTTGGTTATTTTTTCTTGGAGATGATCACTTTGATAAGGGTAGACCTTCTGCTACTGAAAATTTTGCTGTTTTTGTTTGGTTTGGTTTTTCATCACCTTGGGTGTCTATTCCTAGTTTATAATCTGTTCATAATTGCAGTTTTAATATCTCATATCTGAATTTATTTTTTTAAAGGTCTATGATTTTTTTTTTTTTTTTGGTCTTTT